CATAGAAAATCAAAAAGAGGCATATTCTACTCCCATTGTTTTTCTCAGAATTGCTAGAAATATGTTAACTGCAAGGCAGTCTTAACACACGTACACATGCTATATAGTATTTCCTACTGATTAAATGTTGTAACATCTCAAGCATTAATGGGTAGACTGCTTATAGACATTGAGAATTCCCCAGTGACCTCCTATAGCTGACAATAGCCAGATACCAGAGTCGACAGACCCAGCAAATCTTCATAACTACCAAATTAAATCACAAGGGACTTTTTGTCTTACTGGTGAAACCTAGTCAGGAGCTAGGCAAGTGGAGAGAACCACCTCAAGCACTTTCAGGGAACGTGCCTCGTGCCTTCCTGCCAGGAGCAATTACTGGCCAACCTGCTTAACAAGAATATAAAAGAGAGGGATACTTTGTTGCTTGAGTTTGTCCTGAATTTCCTACATTGGAGAAAATAATACAAGTAAGAAATGAGGACACATTCTAAAGAGAGGATAAGAGATTAACATTAGTATTATGACGTCAGCAAGTGGGAAGACTGTATAAAAAGACAGAAAATTCCTGGCCCAATAAACACACATTTATAAGGTGCTTATTTCAGTACAAAACCCTGTACTAAATTCTGGGGAGAGCACAAAAATTGTTGATATATTTCATAAGTATTTGTGGAATGCCTACTATACGCCAGGCACTCCCTTATAAACAAAGGATAAATAAAGTAGAAAGAGACAAAATTCTTTCCCCCAAGGAGACTACATAGTAGGAGACAAGAAACCAACAAATTGTACTGTGAAATGCTGTCACAAAAGAGAGGGCATAGAGTACACAACAGGGGCCCACACAAAACCGACTGCAAGGATCAGAAGCTCCCAGGGTTGTTTTTTAAAGAAAGCCATGAGTATTGGTTTCCTAGAGCTGCCATAATGAATTACACAAAGTTGGTGGCTTAAAACGACAAAAATGTATTCTCTCACAGTTCTGAAGGCTAGAAGTCTAAATTCAAGGTGTTGGCAGGATCATGCTCCATCTAAAGACTCTAGCGAAGAATTCTTCCCTGCTTCCTCCAGTCCCTGGTGGTGCCCAGCCATCCTTGGCATTCCTTGGCTTGTAGCTGCATCACTCCACCCTCTGCCTCTGTTGTCACATGACATCTTCCCTGTCTCCTCTGAGTTTCTGTGTCCTCTCTCTTTCTTATAAGGATGCCAGCCATTGAGTAAGGCCTCACTCCAATCCAGTATGACCTCATCTTAACTAATCACATCTGCAAAGAGCCTATCTCCAAATAAGGTCACATTCTGAGGTTTGAGGTAGATGTGAATTTTGAGGGGATACTATTTAACCCACTAAACCAGGCAAGAAATGACATAGGCCTGATGTAACGTAGTGGCCATACAAATGGAGAATAGAGGAAAGAGAAGTCCAGAACGACTCCTTGTTTTCTAGCCTGAGTAACATGTTGGTGCCAGCTCTGAGATGAGGCATTCCAAGCAGAGGGAGCTTTTCTTGGAGTGTTGGTATTACCAAGTTCTTAGAATAATAGCTACAATTTTTGAACGTCTATTACTTAACATGATTTCTAAAACTCACAAACCTATGAAGTAGGTACTATTTTCAGGTTACAGCTGAGAACACTGAGGCCAGAGAGGTAAGGAACCATCCTAGAATCATTCAGTTTTTAAGAGGTGAAAGGTGAGAGAGAAGGAGTCAGAAGAGAATATGGAAGAGAGCCCACTCGAGTTGAAAGGGTTTTTCTTTTCCTCAACCAGTATTTATACCAGGAAATGGTCCTAGAGTAATAAAATCCAGGCAGGATAGTTAAGTTCCTTAAATTACAGACTGTCCTTTGGAAACACCATACATTGTCACTAACACAGTTTACATGGAGAAATTCACAAAGCAAATTAGACATTTCCTTCCCTCTACACCTTTGTATGTGTAAGTCTCCTATCAAGGAATCAAAGAATCTTATCCATCAAATAAAAGTTGAAAACTAAGCTGTCAAAATTCAGCCGTCCCTGAACTTGGCGTCCATCTACCAAACCAAGAGCTGTCTTGCCCTCCTTCCTCACCCCTTCATTGGACGAACACCCATCATTGGCTCTCAGCCTCTAGGAAGATTCTTCTGACCCTTGTCAAAGAAAATTCCTCAAAACACAGAAAATAAAAGCAAAAAATAATTATATGACGCCTTAATACCATACCTGACATGCTCCAATAAGCCCACTTCTGGGTCATCTCTTTTGGAGAATGTAACTTGGTTCCACTTACTATCATAATTGCTTGGAGGAATGACATCTTGAACTCTAAGTTAACAGTCTAACTTCTAAAAAAAACTGATAAAGTGTGATTATTTCTTTTTCCATCTAGCAAAGAAAATAACCCCCCAAATCAGTTTTATAGCACTATAGGACATGGATCAGCTTTGTTTCTAGTTTAGCAATCTTTATTAACATGCTTTTCCTCGCTGATTTTTTAATTCCATTTCTTATGTTCTTTTTGAATCAGTTTTCTCATTCTGCTAGTTTACTTTTCAATAATAAGGTAAATAAAACTTTGACACATTATCTTTTTCTATGAGAATTATGCTAATAAACTGGAAATGACTAACATACCCTAAGTAAGAATTGACCCCCCAACTCTACCCCAAGTATTTCTCTAGCAGCACTATTGTAACGGCTTGTTTGCCTGCCTTCTCTGCCAGACTAGGCAGTGACTTGTAAGGAGTCAGTGAACATTTCTGTCTTATGTCCCACTGTTATCTCCAGAACCCAGTAAAACGATTGTCTGCAAAAATTCCCGAATGAATTTCTTACCCAAATGCCTAAGAGCCCTTTCTCCCACTCTTCTCCTTTGTCATGATCTTAAACTCCTACATCTTCTTTTTTAACTTGATAATGGCTCTCTTTACTACCTGCAGCCTCTTTGAAAAGTATCACCTTATTATCTAATTAAATGACAGGTTTTTCTCCCAATGGCAGACATACAACAGGGTTTAGGCCTGACAATAGGACAGAATTCACATCATCTGCCTGAGCATCAGTAACCTTCAAAAATAAATTTTAATAAAAATCACTACGACCACTTTGGGGAAAAACTGTCAGTTTTTATTAAGGATAGAAATTGGTTACACAATTAGTGTATTATAAAAAAAGTGCTGTTGGGCCGGCCCCGTGGCTTGGTGGTTGAGTGCGCGCGCTCTGCTGCTGGTGGCCCAGGTTCGGATCCCGGGCGCGCACCGACGCACTGCTTGTCTGGCCATGCTGAGGCCACGTCCCACATACAGCAACTAGAGGGATATGCAACTGTGACATACAACTATCTACTGGGGCTTTGGGGGAAAAAATAAATAAATAAAATTATTTAAATAAAAAAAGTGCTGTTAAACTCCCAAATGGATAGCAATATGTAAAAACATCTGAAATACATAATCTTCTCAAGCAGAAGATGCTATATCCACGCCTGTAAATCAATTAGTCAATATCTATCAGATCATGAAATGAGCCTCACTATTCTGATCCAGCTCTTTGTTGAAAGACTGTTCTACTAGTATTAAATTTGTGAGAATAATGAGAACCTTGGTAGATATCAAATATAACTCTGCCAGTTATCAATTCATTGACTCGGCTTTAAATTCATCCTGTGTGCCTACTCTGTAAAAATGGATCTGGGCCCTTTAAATACTTTTCCTTTTTAACAGACAGGATGTTCAGCTTTCTCAGTAGAGGGCTGGAGAGACACTACAAGAGGAAAGAGTCTTGTTCTTGCTTCAGTGTTCAATTGGCCGGCTACTGGGAATCTAGCTCCTCAGCAGAGGAAGCTTCCCCCAGAACCCAGTTTCTGCAGCACAGGCAGCTTCTCCAGGGTCCAGCCCCTGGCACACAAGGCCTCCCCAGTGCTCAGCACCTGGAGTGCATGGTGGCCAGCAGGACCCAACCACTAGCAGCTCCTCCCAGGCAACCCCCTCAGGTATTTTGTAACGGAGTGCCCCTGGTGAGATACCCCTGTGAAGAGATTCCTCCAGTACCCTAGAGCATGGATTTCCAGCAAGATCCCCTGGCACACGCCCTCCAGCAAGGTCTAGATCTCAGTCCCGGGGAAGGAGGGAGGGTGGACTCCTCCTTGGGTGATCTATCTGAACTGCTCCTTATATCTGTTATTCCTGTATTTTTTAGGGTTCTCTTTATTTTCTTACTAGTCAATCCCTCATTATTCCAAAGCCTGTTATAGTTAACAATTCTTTATATTAAACTTTTCCTGTTCAAATTACTATGTGCCTTCTCTCTCCTTGATTAAACCCAGTCAAAGACAAACTCCTAGAAGCAAAATAAAAATGAACACCTTTTTAATTTAAAGACACTTTATTGGGTGCTTGATATAAACCACAGTTTCCCATGACAAAAAGTGTTATTCATACAGATATGAAATATTGTATTTAAAGAAATGGAAATTATTTACACATTTGGGATTGAGATGGCTAAGAAAAATGAAAGCATAGAGAGAGATTGTTCTTACGCTTTTCTACTAATATATACAGTTCTAATCATCATAATCACATTTGTTTACTTTGAGATGAGCAAGATGTATACATTGTATTATCCTAGGAGGGGGCTCTGAGGTGGCCCAGACACTTGAAATTGGCTTAATCCAAAACCACACTCAGGGAAGTCACAAACAACTAAATGACTAACAAGGTGTGGCTTCCCTTCTTCAGAATTTTCAAATCCTTCTGTCATCTTTAAGGAAACATTTCTCAATTGTTTAAGCAGAACTGTGAGAGACCACTTCTATAAAAGGGAGAGGTACAGTACAGTAACTACGAGCATGAGCAAGTTACATTACATCTCTGAGCTCAGTTTCCTCATCTGTGAAAAGGGGATAAAGATTGAACCTATCTCGTAGAGTTGATGTCAGGACTGAATGAGGAAAGATACAGAAAAGACTTACAATCATGCCTGGAAAATAAGTCTTTGCTATTACTCTTATCATCCTTGATCTTACTCATCCAAAGCTGTTACTCTAACAATAATACAATTATAAAATAAAAGGGGGAATAAAAAAAAAGATGCTACACTTTCTTCATAATTTTAACAGGAGAACCAACATTTTATGTAAGCACTTAGGCTAAATAACCTGCAGTAAAAGTGTCCTGTATGTCCAGTCGCCTTGTACCAATGGGATTTAGTCAAGTAATGATTACCTGCATCAGAAATACTCTCCATCTAAGTAGCTTCTCAGGTGAGTTTTAATTCTATTTGGAGTAAATGCAAACTTTGTAAATGTTAAGAAACTGGCAATGGTGTAATAATAATCATCCGAACTTCTCATATGTTAGAATTTAGAGTACTTCTTTTTGTAAGAATTTGGGGTTACAGAGAAAGAGAGATTTCTTCAAAGTTTAGTGAGACTTTCCTCAAAGTTTTATACCTTAGATATTATCTTTGTAGTCAGATAGACTGGGTTTAACCCTAGTCCCATTCCCCGCCAGCTGGATAACCTCAAACAAGTGTTTTTAACTTCTCCAAATCCTAGTTTCTTCCCCTATAACATGAAGATAGCAATGCCTACAATGAAGGATGGTTGTAAGGATTAAATGAGATAATTCGTACAAAGCTAGTGTCATACATGGCATTGTCACTGCAAAGTAAGAGAAAGCAGCAGCCATGATCATTACTATTGCTGAGATTATTACCTAACTTTTTGCCTTATTAATTTCATGACCTCTTTTTTAAACAAGTAAACATCAGAGGAAGATCCTATAATGTCAACATGTGTCTTATAAGAATTAATCAGAACCTGAGGGTACTTTGAATTCAGTTGTTCACATGCCAACTTAATATTTCTTTTCTCTCTGTTTTCCTTTCCATCCAAAATAATTGTCTCTTTTCTAAGTTCAAAGTGAAGAATATGTGAATATTTCTCAATGAGCTTTTTTACATATGTTTCATCATTTGGATGAGAAATAGCGTGAGAACTTTTTATACAAATTGTGGTAATTTCACCATCCACTCTCTCCTGACATAAAACATGAAATTTTTTCAAAGCTCTTTCATAATATCCACACTTCTTTTTCAGGTAAAGGAAAACATCTGTGTCGAGAACAAGCATTTCTCCACTTCCACTAGTCTTAGATACTGAGGACCTGAGTGACTCCGAAGAAATACTACTTCCCTGTAGACTCCTTCTGGGGCTCTCTCTATTCCACTCTTTCCCCTCACTGATAAAATTCCTGTTTTTTTCTAAAAGAGAACTTGCTTTTAATAGCAAAGATTCTTTGAGCCTCTTGATAGCCAGAAATGATCCCTGAACGGAGATTCTTCCACTGGGTTCCAAATGACTGAAGCATAAAGTTGGGATTTTCCTTTTCAGGTCCATTACCAGACTTTCTAGAATGACTTGACTCCGAAAAACAGAAAGATCAAGGATAGCCTTTACAGAGCTGAAGACCTACAATTAAACAGAGAGAAATTAAAACAGCACTGCCTAGTGGAGGAAACTACATAAACACATTCTTTTTCTGGCACTTTCTCTGTCTCCTCAGCAGTTGCCCTAATCAGGCCCCAACTGATCAGCCCAGACTGGCTTTTTGCACCATAGCAGCCTATCAAAGGGATCCCACAATCCCATCAAGACCACAGTGTTCAATTTGGGATTCATAGTTCCTCACTGCATTCCCCAAAACAGAGGTGATCAAATATTTTTTAGAGGCAGAATGCTTTTTTGAAACAAAGTCTTAAGCAGAACCCATAGATATAACTATTCTGGTTCTGCTCTGTGGATAGAGGTCCCCCTAGAGAGCCCTCCGAGTTTGAAGTTTATCAGATGGCTGCACAGAACCCCAGGGTTTCTACAGAATAAAGTTTTAAACCAAAGCTTTGAATTTTAACTTTTTCCTCTTATTTCCACTTTTCCTGCCTCTTCAAACCTCCTTTTTAATGTTCATCCTAATAGGATTTTTTTTCCCCAAATAAGTCTTTAGGTAGATACATCATCCATGACAGCATAAAAGCTCACTGTCACTTTAAAAGCATCAAGTGGGACAGAGAGAAACATGAGAACAGACCAGGCAATAACCAAAAAACGTCAACACACAGGTTTGACCTTTAACACTGACTCAGGTTAGGGAGTTTGCCTTTTCTTTCCGAGAAGTCACGTTGCTTTGTGTCTCCTATGTAGGAAACACTTTACAGAAGAAATGAGATCCAGGGCTATCAGCACCCCTTCAGCATCACATCTTACCTCTTCACTAAGATGAGAGACTGTGAGTGGAGTGGGTACAAACTTCTTTACTAGACAGTGGTTCTTTTTTCTGATGACATTCTCTGCAACTAAGTGGAAACACTACCATCAGAAATGTTTGTGGCATGACACACTAATCATCATTTTAATTAATAATAATAGAGACGTTCGACACTATTATTTAGAATGCCTCAAATTTTTTCTATATTTTTCCTCTAAATTCAACATTTAAATAGTTTTCCCTTCTACTTTAACACATTAAAATGCATTTTATGTGTAAATATGATCCTAGTCGTACTTTTAAAAGCACATATAGGTGTATATATATATATATATGAATAGAAAACAAGAACCTAAAAGTAAATCCCCCACTCTGTTAATTATGGCCATGAGGAGACTTCATCTTCTTGAGTCCAGGATACCACACTGTCTTGGTTGTCCTCTAATCACTAGCTGACCTGCTCAGCCTCCTTTGCTAATTCTCCTTCTCTTCCCATTCTCTAGGTGTTGGCATCCCCCAGGCCTCAGGCCTCACACCTCTTTGCTAACCTACACCCACCCAGTGGGTGATCTCAACAATTTCCACGGCTTTAGGTACCCTCTCCACATGTACCACTTCCAAATTCTATCTTCAGCCTCAGTCTTTCTCCCCTCTGCCTGTGGAACTCTCTACTTCATTAACCCAACAGGCGTCTCCATGACCTTTGTGAAAATTCACTCTTGATAACTGCCCCTTCCCAAAAGTACTCTTCCTCCAGTGTTCTCCATCTCAGAAAATGACACCTAACCCATCAGCGAATCCTGAATACTCACCAGTTCTCAGTAACCTGCGCTCCTACCACCCTAGTCAAAACCAGCGATGACTAGTAGCTCCCGTTCTTCCCACGGTTGCCACATTGGCCATCTAAGAAAAGGCAGTCACATTTTGTCAGTCCTCTGCTCAAAACCCTCCAATGGCTTCCCATCTCACCCAGAAAAAAATCCAGACACATTGTCTTGACCTATGAGCTACTTAACATAAACTGGCCCCAGCTGCCCATCTAGCCACATCTCCTATTACTCTCCTCACTGCTCATTCCAGCCACACAGGCCTCCTTGCTGTTCTTCAAAACATCCAGCATGCTCCCTCCTCAGAGAATTTTTTCCTAGTCCTTCCTTTGGCCTAGAATGTTCTTCCCCCTTATCTGCATGAATCATTCCCTCACTTCATTCAGATCTCTGCTCAAATGTCACCTAAACAGAGTATTTCCCTACCCACTCTATCTAAAGTAGCACCCTCTATCACATTCTATCCCTTTATTCTTCTTTATATTTTTCCATAGCACTCATATTATATATTAACATATAAATAAATATATATAAACATATATAAGTATGTAAGTAATATACAGATATAAAAGTAAATAAAGCACTCAACATATTATATTATCATTTATTTGCTTGTTTATTATCTGTCCATCCCCACAGATATATGCTTCATGAAAGAAAACATTTTGCCCATTTCATTCCTTGCTGTATCCTCGAGGCCTAGAATGGTACTTGGCAAATAATAGGTGCTCAATAAATATTTGTGAATAAATGAATGAGTGAATCATCTTTTTCTCTGAGGAACCAATTCAACATATAAAATATTAACTTGCAAAAACACTAGGATGCCCTCAGAGAAATAATAAGGAGCCCTTCCCGCCATCCCTTACCTGAACATCCCCATTGAGAAGAAATGGCTTAACTAATGGTGACAGATAAAGTTACTGATAATCCATATCTCTTGGATTTCTCCCTGGACCCTGTATTCCTTCAAGCAGAGCAAAGTTTCTCTGCTCTTACTCCCAAGTGTTACTTTCACCTCCAAGATGCTGGCATGGAGACTCGTCTTTCTTGGGCAATTTATTCTGCCAGCCACTAAGCTGTAAAGAAGGCTGCCCCTCTCCAGGAAGCTGGAGGAGTGAAGATGCTCTGCAGACCCAAGTTCTTCACCCATGTCAGGGATCGGGGTGGGGAACAGAATGGCTCACACTGATCTCAGTTCCAAGCCATATTTCTCCAATCCAACTTTACCAGTAATAAAGCAGGTACTATATTAGAATATCCGTTTGTTGGTTTGAACAAACAGAAGCAAATGATATAGTTATACAGTCATATGTCACTTAATGACAGGGATATGTTCTGAGAAATGCATTGTTAGGTGATTTCGTCGTTTTGCGAACATCATAGAGTATACTTACAGAAACCTAGATGGTATAGCCCACTACAGACCTAGGCTAAATGGAACTAATCTTATGGGACCACCATTGTATACGAGTTCCATTGTTGACTGAAATGTCGTTATGCAGTGCATGACTGTATTGTTGAAGCCATCTCAAAATTCCCGAAGTAGTTATCTTGTTTGTGAGATTATAGATCATTTTTGTGGGCTTTTATTTTTTTTTACGTTTTCTACAATAAAATGTATCACTTTTATCCCAAGATACAGACGGATTGAAAATACAGAAAGAAAGAAGTCTTCAAGAATTTGCCAGTCACTAGCAACTTTATCATAAGCCATTTTCACATTATACTCTTCATATGCAGTACTGTGCCACTTTTATATTCAGAATAGAATAACATTTTAAAGCTACTTTAAGCTTTACCAATCCCATGAACATTTTAATGAAATTCAATTTTTAATTTCATTACAGAAGTATTTCTAAGATTACAAAAATTTGATTTGGAAATACCTTTTTTTTCTTTGAATGTTACATATGCAACTCCCTTGGTTCTTGTTGGATATATCACATCTTCAACAACTCCACCCTCATTCTTACTATCTTGGAAGTGAATCTTCACTAATGTGGCCAGTAATTGAGCATTAAAAACCGTTGCAACCGGAAGACCAGCAACTACAACCGTTCTTTCAGAAGCTTTAGATTCCCTGACATTCACCATTGATGCCTGTAAGAGAAAGGTTACTCTTTAAACATATAAGATTCTACTTAATATAAGCAACATCACACATCAGTGAGAGAGGTTATTTTATTTAATAAAGGTGCTAATATAGCTGATTAGATACTTGAAAAAAAAATATTAAAGATAGATCCTTGCCTCATGCCATATACCAACATAAACTTTATGTGAATTTGAGAATTACATATAAAAAGTGAACCTTTTATTTTTTTTATAAATGGAAAACATTCGTTAATATTTGTCTGATTTTAGAAATGCCTAAAAATAATAGAAGTCACAAAGGAAAAGATCAAGAGAAATAAATTTTTTAAATTAAAATTTTTTAAAAAGTCAAGCTAACCACAAAATATGGTACTTTGGAGATGGCTTATGTTTTCTTGATTGTAGAATCCAAAGTACATAAGCTAATAATAAACACATCCTGTACTTTGTTTGTCAGAATCAGGAAAAAGTCACCATAAAACAATAAAACCCTGGCAATAATATTTGGACTGCAGTGCAGTAAATCCTGCCTTCCAGCACATATCTGGGATGGAATGCAAACACTGAGAGTACATGCTATCACAGACTCTGCCACCACGCCGGGCACAGAGTACCAAATGCAAGTAGATCCTTGCCTAGGCTCATGCTCTTTGAACTTCCTGTATTATCCAGTTAAGGGGCTTCTATTTAAATGCTTTAATTTGTTCCCCAGCCCCATTTAGGAAAGTGGACCTATAAGCTTCCCCCAATGCTTATATAGTTAGTTCAGCCTGATTCTACCAGAGATCAGATATAATCTATCCTAAATTACCCTCCAGGGGAGGACAGGATGTCTCAGGGGCCTGAGTAATGGTGAATAGACCACAAAGATGTTTTGGGCTCTCAGTTCAGAGGACTCTGTACTCAAAGCAGAACTCCACTGGGGACAGGCAAACTACATCTGACCTCCCAGGTCAAGAAGACAATCTAAGTACACACACAGTGTCCTGTCCATCCCAAGAGCACCTTAAAATGAAAAAGTAACCAAGAAAAAAGGGGCTCGTTCTGCTCAATGCAATCCAGTGCCAATCAATTGCAAACCAGTCAATGGTTATGAAAGGAAAGTTTATACAATTAGCTAGCACAATTGGAAGATGGTGGACTAGTGTCCTAAAGAACCATCTTAAAGTCATACAGAATCTTGAGGCAGTTACACAGGGGAAATGGGTAGGGAAGGAGGGGGTTTAGGGACGTCGATCATCGAGTGTGACGAACTTCAAGGCACCTCATTCTCTCCTTCTGTCATTTGTGACGGGTACCAACACAGAGTTTTTCTTTCTGGAGGTCATCATGTTCCTGGGGAACTCAGAGAACAAAGCTATCCTTACCACAGCTGGGAGATATACGTAAGCAAGAGTCACAGAACTAGCAGATCATGTATTTTGCAAAAGTGAGAGGTGCTTAATCATCTAGGCTACGTGCAGGCTAGAGTGCATTCTCAGAGACCAGTGAGTCAAGGTCATAGTTACAATATTGTTTCCTTTCCATAAGATGGCTTCCCTCATGCTAACTTAAGATCTAGCTTTTACAAAAGTAAAAGGATGAAAAAGAGAATAAACCCAGTTAAGGGAAGCAATCAGCATAGGAAAGCTTTCAACAAATTACTGGAAGACCAAAAATACACACAAGAATGTGGAAGGACAAGACAGTGGGAAGGAGCTAACCCAGAAGAGGAAAACGGGATTGCAGGAAAACCTTCAGAGCAAAACCTCAGAAATGAAAAGCGCCCAAAACAGAAAGATCAGTTGCAAGGCTAACAGCAAAACAGCCACTCCAGTTGTCTCCCCACACTCCCTACCTCCAATGCACACACACACACACTTGAGCACATACCATACTTACTACAATGAAGGCAGCTGGGCCACAACCTCAGGGAAAACACTTGAGGATTATTTTACTTTAAAAAAAAAAACAACTGAACGAACATTCTAAAGAGAATCTGACCTGCTAGTATGGGTGCTGGCACCCCAGCACAAGTCCCCCCACCCCTCTGGCATTCGAAGGGACCCTAGCCTAAAGATCAAAAGCAGACCAAAGTGTGGCATGATTTGGAGTAAATTCTGGAATACCAGAAAAAAGAGAATTCATTTGACCCAGCTGCTAGGAACATTTTCCTTTAAGTAGAAAAAAAGAAAATACACATGACATTGGACCAAACAAAGAAAACAATCTCAGCACACTGGTAGGCCCTGCTGTAAACAGTGTTTACTGCTTGCCTAATAATGTAAAGACTCCTACTGGTTTTAACTTTTAGACTAATTCTGTTAAGTCTTCAAAATACCAAAGACTTAAATATAATTACAGAATAAAATGAAAACATTCAACTCTGTCAATGTAAGAATAAAAGCAGAACAGAAGTTGAAAGGTAGAAAGAAGAATAATCTCCTCTTATATTACAGGGAATCATATAATACTATCAAAATTTTAAGTATATAATGGAAGTTAAAAAAATAATCCATAAAGTTTAAAATAATATTAAAACTTTCAAATTTGGAAGGTGGGAGAAGTCCTCAGAGGTTACTTGAGTGAAATCCTCATTTATCATAGTAGGAATTCAATAGAAAATGACTAAAGTCAATGGTGACTCCCTCCAGGTCATGCACCCTCTCAGCGGCTCTTTGGTATTTCATTTGGTAGCTATTAAAATAAAGTGGCAAAAATGTGCCTGTCTGATGAAACAGTGTTTTTAAGCTCACAGTCTGCAACTGAATTTCTCAGAATATGCAGTATCTTGTCAATTAGTTAATAACAAATACAGTATGCCTGGCAATATGCTGGGTACCACAGATGACATATACAAACAAATAAAGCATGCCCCTTGCCCCAAAATTCAGTATCCCCACAAAAATTTACTGAACTTTTATTATGTGTGGAGCACTTGGAGAGGCTGCAGGATTACTAACATTAAAAAAAAAACCCTATCTTACAGGTGAGATACATAAATAAATGTGTCACATACACATACACAAATTATGAGACACATAAATAAATCATTTCAACAGAGCTTGGTAGGCACAAAAAGAGGGACACCTATTTCTTTACAAGAGGAAACAAACCAACATCCAACAATTTGAGGACATAAAACCATTCACAGTAAAATGCTAAAATATACAATAAATGCCATCTGAGATTAGGAAGCAAGATTCGTTCTGGCTAAAGCAGTCAAAGCCTTCATGAAAGAGAGGCCTTGAAGGCTGAGGTCGAATTTTAATGAATGGTCAAATTTAATTTAAAATGCAAAAGAAAGGGCCGGCCTCGTGTCTTAGCGGTTAAGTGCGTGCGCTCTGCTACTGGTGGCCCGGGTTTGGATCCCGGGCACGCACTGATGCACTGCTTCTCTGGCCATGCTGAGGCCGCGTCCCATATACAGCAACTAGAAGGATGTGCAACTATGACATATGGCTGTCTACTGAGGCTTTGAGGGGGGAAAAAAAAAAGGAGGATTGGCAATAGATCTTAGCTCAGAGCTGGTCTTCCTCAGCAAAAAGAGGAGGATGAGCATGGATGTTAGCTCAGGGCTGATCTTCCTCACAAAAAAATAAAATAAAATAAAATAAAATAATAAAATAAAACAAGACAAGACAAAATAAAACAAAATAAAATAAAATGCAAAAGAAGAGTTCACAGCAAAAGCAAAGGGACAGAGGGGTGGGTGATGAACATGGCTCGTGTTGAGGCATATACAACAAAGGGAACGTCTCCTGAAAGTGAAATCCGTAATAATCTACTGGCTGTTTGTTACAGAAGGTACTTGTAATGGAGGAAAACAGTTTCTTAAAATATTCAGGGACAACTAGATTGCATAGGAAACAATAAAAATATATAAAAGTGTTCCTCCATCCTAGCCCCAAGTGGTAAGATGTAATTATCCCAAATTGGTTCTTCCTAGAAGAGGAAAAAATGACGAAAGAGATTTTTCAGATTTTCACGGAATTTTACTTCCCAGGAGATTCGTCTTGATTCACTATACACCACCTGGCTCTGACAGTCCACAACAACCTCAACGGGTAAATAGCTAGTGAATTAGCTTCCTTTTTGCTCTTCATCAAAGAAAAACTTTCAATTTAAATTCAGCAAATCTTACTCCACCTCTGCCCTCATCAATACTAAGACCATAATTCTTTATTCAAGTGTCTACATTTAATTTATCTTTTAAATGCAAGGACCTTCCCCTTGAGCCACTATTTTTAGGAAAGAGAAGGTAAGAAAATTATGGCAGTAAAGGTATGGTCCTGTTTTCTAAGAACTGACTAATTTTTATGAATCATCTAAGGAATTTCATTTCAATGACCTGCCAGTATTCTTCCTTAATTTTCTTTCTTCAGTTTGAGACAGTATGGCAAACATATAATTTTATTGAAGTTAATTACGAACAAAGATGGCTACTAATCTCTTCTATCCACAATTAAGAAGAAAGAGACGTCTAGGAGACAATCCTTTCAAGAGTTACCACACAGAGATACAGGATTTTGAAAGGAGAGCAGCATTTTGGCCAAGAGGTATTAAGATGATGGCATTTTCCCCGGATCAATGATACATTTTATGAGACTTCTGACCATTCTATCAGAAAACAAAAAGGTACAAAGAAAAAAATGTGTTTACTTTTGTAAGGCACTATTGAGAAATAATGAGATTCCTTCACTGCGTTCGTTTCTATTTCTTTTCTTAAAACCAGTTATTTTCACCGACGTTGTCTTTACCGCCACCCTGTAAACAAAATCGTATTTGCATCTCACGACTGCTCTTGCACTTCTGAGACCCTAGCATTTCTGACCAGAAATTGAAGGCCCTGCCACTGCCTTCAAACACTTGGAAAGAACACGGAAGACTAACCCTTGAATTTGCTGACTGTTCTTGCTAGTCAGCACAGAGGGTGAAAACACAGAGCCCTTTTATCTGGAGGAAAAACTAAGGCCGCAAGAGAGAAGAGTCCCCACTAAGGCAGACAAGACATGAGGATGCCTTCCTAACTTGCGTCCTTGGCTCGAATCCTTCTTATTGGCCCTTTTCAAAAGGAAACTGTGGCCTCCATTTCTGGGTAATTTTCTCTGCTCTTGCTCCCCAGGGGGTAGGACAACAGTTAAGCCCTAACACAGCCTGCGAAGCGACTCCTCCACCAAACGGCTGTGTCCCTGACGACGGGGCACCGGGCGCGGGAGGTGGCCGCGCCTTGCGCTCTCTGGAGCCGCGCCTCGCCCGCACAGGCTGCGGTGAATTGCAGGCGCGCGCCTCACTGCCGCCCCGGCAAGTGCGGAGAGGCAGGGCGCGCTCTGCTGGCGGGTCGACCTGCGGGGCGGACCGCTCTCCGCCGGCCCCGGGACCCTCCGCGCGCCGCTGGGGTCAGCCCCGCACCCTCGCGCGCCCCCGCCCGGCCTCGCGTCCTTCTGGGGGACCGTGGCCACGGGATGGGGACGACCCTGCCCTGCAAAATCCAAAGCAAAAGCAACTTGCCATGGCGGAGGAGAGACGCGCCCTCAGCGGCCGGCAGCGCCCAAGTCGAGCGGAGCGCGGGCGACCGGGTGAGGGCCCTGCAGGCAGGTTTTGGTTTCGGTTTTTTGTTCCCGTTCGCTAGGAGATAAGGCGAGAAAAGGGCGGCCCCTCCACCCCAGCTGGCTGTACTTGGGCCTGGTGGCCTCTGGGGTGGGAGCTGGGACCTGGGACGACGGCTGCTGCCAGCGCCTGCCGGGACGCCCTCGCCCTCGGAGGTTTCGCAACTTTTGAAACCACGCTGGAGAGAGGCCGGGAGGAAGGCCCCGCAGTATTTCGGGGCTTCTGCGGGGCCTGTGTCTGTCCTGTGCTCAGTGAAATCTGGATAGTCCTTCCTCCACCCTCGTTATCTCCCCAGTCGTTTTCCCACCACACCACACTTGTTTCTCTTTCTCGTCACCTGCCCAGCCCAGCCCAGGGTCGGTCGTGGGCCGCGGCCAGGAGCGCAGGGCAAAGGATGAAAAGTGCAGCGTCCCAGCGAACAGACAGCTCACCATCTTGTCCGCGCCGAGCTCGGACTTCTGAGTCTGGCACCTACGGGGACACACGGAGTCTGCATACATGGCTTCAAAGTCAAAGAAAGCATGAAGTAAGGCAAGTGGTTGGCAAATATAGAGAAGCTGAATTCCACTCCTAAATAAAGAAATACAAATTGAAATCATGAGATCTCTTTTTTCCATGATGAGATTGGCAAAAATTAAAGTGTGATGATACCCAGTGTTAGCCAGAGTGTGAGGAAGCATTATGTTGCTGCAAGCTCAGATAGGTGCAAATATTTCCAAGGGTTTGGCCCCTTTCAAAATGTAAAGTTTAAAAATGCACATATCCTTAGATTTAGCAATTCCGCTTTCAGAACTGAAGTTATAGTGCACAAGTGGAACTAAGATATTGTACAGAAATTTTAATTGTGCGTTGCTTGTAATATACATAATATTTTTTAAAAAACTGGAATGCACCGATTTAATCTATGAATTTGTTGTTAGTACCATCCAGTTGATTCCAACTCCTCGAGACCCTGTGTACAGCAGAGCAGAACTCTGCTGGGTCTGGCCAGGTCCTTCTTCCTAGTCTGTCTTAATCTGGAAGCTCCGCTGAAACTTGTCCACCATGGGGGACCTTCCTGGTATTTGAAATATTGGTGGCATAGCTTTCAGACAGGTGGTGTGGTTTCCTGACCAGGAAACAAACGCGGGAGGCAGCAGTGAGAGTGCTGAATCTTAACCACTGGACCACCAGGCTGGCATGAATAATCCATAATCCGTGAATAGAGCTATTTATTATATGGCAATGGCACGTCTATAAGCCTAAAGCTATGAAGACTGTAAAACAGAGCAAGGTAGTTCTATATGTAATTCTCCAAATTATGTTCCATCTTCAGATTCCTATACCTAAAAACCCACTTGAATGTCCAATAAACACCAGGAGCAAGTAGAACCCTCCTTCCTGCCTTTCTTCCCGCTCAGTAAACAGTAGCGCTACCCACCCGGGCGCTCAAGCTCCTGACTCATGCTTCTCTTCCTTGATTTCCCTTTTTCTTAGCTCTGTTAGTACATCCCATAAACCGCACACTCTCTCCAACTCCACCTCCACCACCCAGGTCAAGTCTGCATCCTGCCTTGTTCCCCTACAATTCATTCTGGATATGATATTTTAAAAACGTAAATCAGGTTTGATCCCTATTTAAGCATTTCATCATTTTCCTGTTGCACTTTAAGTAAAATTTATATTCCTCACCAGGAAATCAAAATGGCCTTGATCTGCTTTCTCTGGCCAAATCCCCTAGCATTGTCCTCACTCCCCCTGTTCCGACCAGGTGGACAAGCCATCTAGCCTGGGGGCTTTTCCGGGACTTTGTTCTCTGTCTAGACCTGGGTAGCTCCTCCCTGATCTTCACTTAACAGGCTCCTTGCTGTCAGTGGAGTCTTAGCTCAAATGAACCCTCTTCAGAGACTGCTTCTGACCACCCAGTCTAAATCTGTCCCCCCAGTTAATTGCTTTTCCATCACCCTTTTATTCCAGCACTCACATCTTTCTAAAAATATCTTCATATGTTTATTTTTTCTTGCTTGTCTAGCAGACATTAGTATTAGTACTAATACTAATAGACAAAGTACTGCTCACCAGCATTCCTTGTTCTTCTCAACTGAGGCACAGGGAGGGATTGCCCTTCCTCACCCTTGGATGTTAGGCATGGCCATATGATTCATTCAGCCAATGAAATGTTAGGAGAATTGACATGTCTCATATTTGAGTGGAAGCATTTCATTGCCAGGACAAGAGTCTCCAACGCTCTCTTCTCTGCCTCAGTGCTCATAGAAGCATATCGAGGGGAACGTGCATCACTAAGCCAACACACAGAACACGGTTGCACTAGGGAATTGCCTGGACCCATAACAAAATTTACGTGAATGAGAAATAAAACTTTGATGTTCTAAGCCACTGAATTTTTTTTCAGCATTATCACCTAGCATACCCTGACTAAAATATCCCACTAGAATAAAAGAACACCATGAAAATATTTGCAAATCACATATCTGATAAGGGATTTGTATCCAGAATATACAAAGAACTCTTACAACTCAAAAATAAAAATATAACCCAATTAAAAAATGGACAAAAAATTGAACATTTTATCAAAGAAGATACATAAATGGATAATATGCACATAAAAATATGTTCAACATCATAAGTCATTAAAGAAATGCAGATTAAAACTACAATGAGATACCACTCCACACTGACTAAAATGGCTGTACTGTAATCAAAAAGAGAGATAATTACAAATGTTATCAAGAAGGTGGAGAAAAGAGAACTCGCCTATATTGCTCATGGGCAAGTAAAATGTTACAGCCACCTTTTAAAACACTTGAGCAGTTTCTCAAAAAGTTAAACATAAATTTACCATATGACCAAGAAATCTGACTCCTAGATAACTACCTAAGAGAAATGAAAACATATGTCCAAACATTGACTTACACCAAATGTTCTAAACAACATTATACATAATAGCCACAAAGTGGAAATAACCCACATGGCCATCAATTGCTTAGAGGCTAAACGAAATGCAGTCTATATATACAATGTAACTCTATTCAGCAATAAAAAGGAATGAAATGCTGATACATGCTACAAGGATGAAGCTCAAAAACATCATGCTAAGTGAAAGAAACCAGACACAAAAGGCCACGTACTGTATAACTCCATTTAACCAGAAAAGACAAGTATATGAAGAGAGAAAGTAGAAAAGTGGTGCCTCGGGCTGGAGGTGGGCACAAAGATGAACTGTAAACAGACACGAGCACCATAATCCAAGTTGGGATGCTCTCCAGGGAAAATGAGTGATCTAGGGTTAGAGTTGGGAGTGCAGGTCTACCCATCTATGCCATCGAACTTGACCTAAAGTGACCCTTAACCCTGTAAAAGTGCCAACTACTCCAACCTGTATGTGCTGACAGCGTTCAGGACACACTACTGCAAAGTATGGCACCGTGGCATATTAAATATTTCAAACTGAAGGAATATGAGTAATGGCATGCACAAGAAGGACTTCCTGAACTTCCCCCAAAGCAGGTCATAAAACCCTCATGTGAGAGGTGCTCTCCCAAAACCCAGAGGAAAAGAGCATCCTTATCTCCAGAGACAGAGAGAAATCTGAATGAACAGGCCTTGCTAAGTCTCCCCACTTGACTACACTTGGCTCATACTCTTTGTTCTAGCATTTTCCGCTTTCCATGACTCTCCACTCTCCAAGCATGAAAACATTCAGGTTTAACCATTTCTTTGCGTCTTCATTTCCTTATAAAGGCTCCCATGGCACATAAAATTTATATTGAATAAATTTGTAAGCTTTCCTCCTGTTAATCTGTCTTTGTCAGCTTAATTTCCAGATTCAGCCAGGGACTCTAAGAGAGTTGAGGAAAACTTTTTCCACCCCTACAGTGCCAAACTCTCCTTGAGGAAGCATGACTCCAGATGTGGCCAAAATAATTCCAGCAATTTATCACTAAGACTGCATCCAAATAAAATTTTAATCTCTTGTAGCCCCAACTATAAAACCTCTTATCTTACCTTACTTTTTTCTATCTCACAGCTTAAGTAAAATCAAGTTGGCCAACATTTCCCTGAATGTTTTTAACTTGTGATACCAAAAAACATAAACAAAACCCATTACTGGATGGTTCACCTGTATTTTGATAATTATTTATTTTCATAAATGGTGGCATACACTTATGAAGATTTCTAAAAATAGGATAAAAAGAAAATCATTTCTAAAGGAGTAGTACTCAATGCTGAGAGGGAGCAATGAGCTAGTCCTTTATTGCACTATTAATAAAACTACAGACCAATGCCTACCCTTCTGGAAAGCAATTGTAGCCCTATGTATCAAGATCCTTAAAAAACCTTTTATCTGAGGGGGTTCACAACAGGCCTTCCCAGGATATGACACTTTGGCATGTGGAATATTTTGAACCAAAGGTAATCGAGGCCCTGTGGCCTTAAGAGAAACTTTTACCTCTCCCTTAAAGACTTTAAATTGGGGGACTTCCCCATAATAAGAATTATTACCAGAAATAAATTTTTATGACCTATCTGTATGTCAGGGCAAACCTCTAATTACTAAACATCTGCTCTTCTTATCATTCTGAGAATTACCCTCCTCCCCTCTGAAGCCTCACGCCCCTATCCCATTCCTTAGTTCAAGGTGACATATATACCTCATTTTACCTTTTTGCCTCTGAACCTCTCACGTATGTGGCACTTCTGTACATACAAAATTAAATTTGATTTTGTCCTGTTAATCCTTCTCATGTCAATTTAATTCTTAGACCATCCAGAAGAATCTAGAAGGGTAGAGGAAAATTTCTTCATCCTCCACATATCCTTTAACCTATCAATCTAGTAATCATCACCTTGAAGTAAGGTCAGAACTGCAGAAAAAGATTTATATACCAAGATACACAAGGGTTTATGTATATTGCAACACTTATAAATGTGAAAAAAATTGGAAACAACTTTAATATCCAACGATGGGGAAATAATAACTAACATAGGATATGTTCACAAGATGAAATGTGCTATGGTTGGGGGAAAAAAAGACTGGAAGGAAGGACATAAATGCTTGCCATTATCTCTGGGGGTGGATTTTTGGTGATTTTTATTATCTTCATTATGCATTATATATTTTTCAAGAATGAGCATCTTTTCTTTATTAATACTAACTGGATATCATGAATGCTATTCACAGTACAGTTTTGGCTTTCCACCTCCCAAGCATATGGTAGGATTGGACTTTCTGGCTCTTTTATGGTTGGGTGCGGCCATATACTTAGGTCTGGTTGAGTTGTAAATGGAAGGGACATTTCTAGACCAAGAAATTAATTGCCAATTCAAGAACTTTCAAAGCTCTTTTTCTCCAGCATGGCATCCAGCAATAAAGATGGTGGCTGCTATTAGCATGGGTCCCTGAGTGTCTACCACGAGCATTGTTTTGTTGACCCATCATGGACCTGTAGCATGAGCAAGGAGTAAACTTTCGTTGTTTTAGGTCACTGAAATTTACAGACAATTGGTCATGTCAGCATCATATAGTCTATCCTGATTGATACAGAAATTGGTATTCTGAAGTGGAGTATTACTATAGCGAAAAGGAAAAAAAAAAAGACAATCCACAGCACAATCTAAAACATATGGCTTTATCTCTAGGGGCCAAGTGGCAGGTAATTAGAAAATAGTTATCAGAGATTAGAAGGATGGTGATCCATATTATGTAGCCGAAAAACATTTGGTAAAACTGTCACTCGTGATAGCTTGGAAGGCAGATAATGTACCTAACTAGCTTGTGGTTTTTTTTAAAAAGAGTGTGCAAAACAAAACTAGTAGCATCTGTTATTACTGGGTGCATTTGAGAAAGTAACGTAAGAAAGAAATGAGCTTAGAAAAGAATTGGCCACTTTGAAAGCAGGAATGAAAGGGAATAGAGAAAGTCCAGAAATATGGAAACTTGTAGTGTTGAAAATAACATTTCTCATTCTCAAATGATAAAACTGAGACGACCTTTGAGTAACAAAGGTTGATTAGAACTCTGCTTTATGGCAAGGATCAAATCAATGAGCAAATCAAGATTTAAATCTGAACATATTAAGATCTCTCAGAGCAAAAACACCAATTAAGGTTGTGGAATTCAATAAGCCCTTTCACCTGGACAAACTGGCTCAGGGAAAAGAAACTAAAAGAGGCCTAATAGACTCAAAGAACCCACAATTAAATAAGAGGGAGAGAAGAATGGAGCCAAGAAAGCACAGAATTATAGCAACTCTAAAAAGTAAGTCTAGAAAAAAACTGTGGGTGTGGCTATTACCACATGTAAACTGACCAGAATAAAATGGATAGGAAGCCCATTAACTTTTTGAATTATACCAGCTAACTAGCCACTAGCCAGAGTAAAGAGACTGTGACTGTTCAAAACTTTAAAACTTTGGTCCCAAACATTGATCATAGGAAGTGTACTGAGCGAGGAAGCTTTTCAGCCTCCAGGAAGGATAGTATTTCAAATGTCCATTCCAGATATGGCCAAGGAGAATGGAAAAAGAAGAATGTCCTGGAGCTACGAGGACAATGAGCAAGAGAAGAATTACCAGGGAGTGGAATCACAGCCTAATCAAAATTCCACACCCAGGAGGTACGGAGCACACATCTACTCAATGGGATTTCAGAATGGCTTTGGCCCAGTGACTGCTGTGTGTCTCCCATTCTTTCTTTTTCCAAATTGCCAGTTTATTGCCGTTATCTTTTTGCAGTTCCACCACTATATATTGGAGGAGTTTCTGATAAAGAGGAGTAACATTTAGACCTGATACAGAAACTACCACATATCACCTAGAGTTCATGCACATTGAGTTTGATGCCATGATTGGGTGGAACTTTGGGGTTTTCTCCCTTGAAGATGGGGTGAGTGTGAGTGTGTACTGTATGTGAAAAAGAGTGATCCAAATATTGATGACCAGTAGGACAGGACAGACTACACTCATTACTATTCTGGTTCAGCTATATCTGGTTCTCCTTGTTTTCACAAGACAGAATTTTCTAGTCCTCTTATGTTTCAATGAGGCCATGTGACTATTTCTGGCCAATGAGATGTGAGAGGAAATGACACAGGTCACTTCCAGTCACAGCATTTAATTGCAGGTGCAAGAGTCTCCAGACTTCACTTTTCCCCACCTCCATGACTCTGGAAGCATGTCTCGAGATGGGGCCTTAAGTGATTAGGGCTAACAGAGTCGCCTGCCAACCTGTGTTGGACATCCAGAATGAGTGAGAATTAAACTTCTATTTCATTAGGCCTCTGAGATTTGGGAGATTGTTTTCACAGTGTAACCTAGCTTCTCTTGACTGCCAAATCAACAAACAGCAAGAGGGACTTGTAATTCCACATACCTATCTTTCCTGACATATATTGACGTCTTTTCACACATTAAGTGGAGCTATCTCATGATGGACACAAGATTTAAGGCCTCATCTCAACTTAATACGCAATATGTTAAACAGTCAATACAGTATCTTTTGGTAAATTTTCAAAGGCAACTTTCCTCCTGTAAAATCTCTAAAACTCTAGAAACAAGCAGGAGAGCCAATGCTTGACTTCTGAGATCCAGCCAGATCATACAGGGGTAAAATGGTGAAACAAACTCAAAGGAAAAGTATAATTTTCTAAGATCAGTAACATTTATCAAAACCACTGTGAAAATCCAGAATTGAATGAAATTATCTATTTTACTGCTTGAAGAAGGGCCCCCAAAAAACAAAAATGACTGTTTCAAACCTTGTCCTAAACATTAGGAAAAAATTCTTTCTGATTGGCAGTCTGCTACAGACTAAAAATGATACCCTCCGTGCTAGTGAGACTGTACCAATCGAAATTAAATAAGGTTCTTTAAATTTTCATTCTTAATATTTTGGGGAGCTTGAAATAATCTTACTATTTCCAAAGAACAACTGAGATGAGAGTTTTTTTCCTAAAATAGTAAATATTAAATTTTATTATAAATTGCCCAGTTTTCAGGCACCATCTCTCATTTTGAAGAGCAATGTGCGAGTAATGAGTACGGTACTTCTGATGGCAGCATAACAACTTGAAAACCTAAAAATAAAATATCAGAAGCAAAACCAAGCTGTTTTTTTTCAGCTTTTCTCTCTGTTTATGTTAGATAGCAGGCAGCATTGGATAGGTTTAGGTTTAGAATCTTTTCTGAAAGTATTTCATTTCTGCCAGCATTTTCATCTGAATTTAATTCTGCTGTTGGCTCTTCATGAAACATACTGTATTAGGATAAAAGCTGTCCAAACGTTCTTTACCAAAGAGAATTTTACCTTCTCTGAATAGCAACCTTGAATTTTACCATTTAGAGTTTCTGCAAGCTAAAAAGCAGTGGAATGCCAATAAACTGGGTCTCTCTCTCCAACTAAATTGTAGGCCCCTGAAGGGCAGGGACTGTGTTTCTACCTTCAGGCATCCCCAGGATCTAGCATGAGTGATGAACCACTACCTTTTCATTTACCTCTCTCTTTATTCTAAGGTTTTCAATCCCTTAAACTGATTCTTTCTATTATAAGTATGAAAGAAAGAAAATTCTGGTCTTTACAAGTTCTATTTGGAGAGCAGACGTCTTGGAAGGAATCAGGGCACACTTGGCACACTGGGTGAAGTTCAAGAAAAAGACCACACTAGGCTCTGAGAAATATCTTTGGAGCTGTGAAGCGAAATGCTGTGCAAAGTGGGAAATGATCACTCTTGAAGGCCCTCGGAAATTCAGTCAAGTCTACAGAAATCACAAACTGCTGGACGTAACCTTTCTTCTGGGAAATGTTTAGAGTCAGGTCTGCATATTGGTGGACTTGGGGCCAATTTCATCAGAATTGGCCCGCGTGACCATGACAGAATGAGCCAACAAGGCAAGGGGACAACTGGATCACTTACAGTCCATTTCAACGGACATGGCAGCAATCCACATAATTTAGGAACAAAACTCTTTTTAATACAGTGCATTTATTGCCTTCGTAAACATGCAGCACAGTTTGAAACAAAGAAGCCTTCAAAAACATGGAAATATACTTTGCATGTAAGAATAAATGGTTAGTAAAGAATTAAAGTTTTCATTTTTTTAAGGAAAAGGATATTCATTTTTGTCAAACACTGACAGTGATTTGGGCTCAGAAGCTCTAATTTTCTTAGGATCCCGTGAGTCTATTCTTCAAAGTACGCCACGTGAGGTCGACCTAAAGAACACCTGACTACTTCGACTTCGCCACCTCCATTCTTCTCCCGTTGAAAGTGAATGCTAATTAAATCCTCCACGATTTCTTCATCCATCGTATCAAGGTCTTCCATTCCAGTCAGAAGCACCGTCCTCTTAGATACTCCTGAAAATACCTAAGGAGGAAAATAAGAAAGATAAACAGAAAACTTTCTAAGAGCTTTGAATTGCAAAACTTTACATTTATAAGCTCTGCTTAATATTTTGGATTTTATTTTAGGAGAGACAAAGAGCCTCAGGAAGATTTTTCAAGTAAGAGAATATCAGAGTCGGATCTGAGTTTCAGAAAGATGACTCTGGTGGCATTATGACGAATAGAGAAAAGAGGGGCAACTCTATGAACAGAAAGACCAGTTAGAGAGGCAGTCAGAGGTGGAAGTGACAAGACTGAGTGAGCAAATGCACGTGGGAGGTGAAGAAAAATGAAGAGTTAAGCATGAGTTCTAGCTTTCAGATTGGTGGACTAGGTGGATAGTGGTGCCACTTAATACCTGAGTAGGAACAGAAAAAGAGAGCAGGTTTGAAGTAAAGACAACGAGTTCAGAGAAAATGAGCTGGAAGAATTATTTTTAAATGTCCAACGATAGTAGACACATGAGGAAAATGTAGCTATGTCTCCTCATACAAAAATAAAGATTGTGCCATTATCTGAGTAATTTCAGTTTTTAAAAAGTGTATAATATATTAAATAAGGTACAGTTTCACATTAAAATATTCCTTAAAAAGACAAACTCATTCTGCACCAAGCAGATATGAAGAAACTATTTTGATATCCCTTATTAATAAGATTCAAACAGTAACAGAGTCACAACTTTTTCTTTATTTTTTGTGGTGTGGGGTCAAGCAGTAAGTTCCCAAAATGAAAGAAAAGAGATGACTTTACCTGAAATTTTTTCAAGTGTTTTTCTATGTATGGAGAAACAATAACTCTATGGCAGTTATGGTCTGTATAAAGAGGATAATCTTTCTTTTTCAAAATCTTGTCAGCAACTAGAAGTAAATTTTTAAAAAATTATTTTCTTTTTTATATCATAAATATTTTTAACCAGTTAAAACTTCCTTCAAACAGAACAATATCACAGTAAACAATGAATTGAGTGACTAATTTTTAAGAAGTTCTACAGTCCACTCTAAAGACTTCACAGTACCTCATTTTGAAAACTATAAGACCAGACAATAATGAGGTTTAAATAGATCTTTCTGTCTTGAACTATCCACTGCAGTCACCCAATGCAGAGAGGGCTTCAATGTCCTCAGATAGATCTACCTTGAGCCACATAAGATGCAACAGCCATCTGCAAAAAGTAACCCACCCATCCCTACAAGAATATTTCCCAGTCTCTTAAGAAGCATAAACAAAAACTATGATTAGAATACTATGTATATAATTTACCACATATATATGTATACACACACACAAATAGAGTAAATTACTGTAATAAATTACTGTAACAAATAAATGTAATATATTACATATATACTAAAATAATAGAGAAGAGCATTAACTTAGTAAAAATTGAGACATTTCCTTAGACTTCCTTTTCTGCTACTTTGTAGTTAGTTATGATTAGTTGGTTGGTATTAATTATTAGCATTAACATTAACTAATAATATGGCTAGTATTATTTAATAATATAAATATATATATAATATTAATATACAAAATTATTTAGTTACCGTGTAACTAACACATGATATTCAGTAAACTGATATGATTATGTTAACCAAAGGGTGGCAGGGGTTGACTGTCACGTAAGTGAAGGCAAATAACAAAATTTCATCAGTTTTCTCCAACACAAAGAATAATCAGATTTATTTTTAGCAGCATTTTTCTCCTAGAGGGGAAAAAGGTAATGTGTCAAGATTACATAACAGGAACAGTTCTTGAGAATATCCAATCACTTTGTTTTTTCTTCTCTCACCAGTCCATCTTGGACTGGCAATATGGTACAATGGTTAAGAATGTACACCCTTGCTGGCGAGGATGTGGAGAAACTGAAACTCTGGTACATTGCTGGTAGGAATGTAAAACGGTGCAGCCACTGTCGAAGACAGTGTAGCAGTTCCTCAAAACATTAAACATAGAATTACCATATCATCTAGCAATTCCAGAAAGAGAAAGATCTAGAAAGACATTCAACTAACCATAACTAACTACATAGTAGCAGAAAGGAAAGTTTAAGGAACATCTCAATTTTTACTGTATTAATGCTCTTCTCTATTATTTCAATTGTCTTTAAAAAGCATGTACTACTTTGTTATGAAAAACCCTAATCAGTCAATGTTTTTTAATTGTATAGTTGGAGTTCTACTACATGTGCAAACCCAAGAGAGGCCTTAAGAACTAGATTAACTAGAGAGTAAGAGATTTTTATTTTGAGAATCACTTGAACATATTAACAAAAGCAACTATAGAATCTTCTATTTTTAATCATAAGAATGTAAACCTTCCTAAGATGATTTGGTGAAAGTCCATATCTACCTAAAAACGGAACAGATGTCTAGCTGTTCTTTTCATTCACCCCTTGTCCTCCCTGGAATTGATTCTTCCACCTAAGAGACCCTGTCAGTCACAATAGGTGGGATGGAAGAAACCGTTTTATATAT